GGCCCTCAGTAACAATTCTGTGTCTGTCCCTGAGTAACAATTCTGTGGCCCTGAGTAACTAACGTTGTCCTGTAACAGTTCTGTGGCCCTCAGTAACAGTTCTGTGGCCCTCAGTAACAATTCTGTGTCTGTCCCTCAGTAACAATTCTGTGGCCCTAACTAACGTTTCTGTGGCCCCAAGTAACAATTCTCTGCCACTCAGTAACAATTCTGTCTGTCCCTGAGTAACAATTCTGTGGCCCTAATAACGTTTCTTTTCTGTGGCCCGTTTCTGTGGCCCTAAGTAACAGTTCTGTGGCCCTCAGTAACAATTCTGTGTCTGTCCCTGAGTAACAATTCTGTGGCCCTAACTAACGTTTCTGTGGCCCTAAGTAACAATTCTCTGGCACTCAGTAACAATTCTGTCTGTCCCTGAGTAACAATTCTGTGGCCCTAATAACGTTTCTGTGGCCCTAAGTAACAGTTCTCTGGCACTCAGTAACAATTCTGTCTGTCCCTGAGTAACAATTCTGTGGCCCTAATAACGTTTCTGTGGCCCTAAGTAACAGTTCTGTGGCCCTCAGTAACAATTCTGTGTCTGTCCCTGAGTAACAATTCTGTGGCCCTAAGTAACGATTCTGTGGCCCTCATTAACAATTCTGTGTCCCTGAGTAATGCTTCTCTGTCCCTAAGTAACGTTTCTCTGTCCCCAAGTAACGTTTCTGTGGCCCTAACTCTGTCCCTAATACAGAGCGGTCTGCCTCTCTTGAATGACTGGAGGCAAATGAAGAATTCTAAAATGGCCGCTATTTATAGCTCGACCATTACACAGTGCTGGCTGCCTGGCTGCTGATTGGCTAATGCGATCACATGTCATTAAGGAATGCATTATGGGTCAGCGCGCCTTGTCTGCACGCCTTCCCAGACATCCCCGCTCCGTCGCCGCACATGTCCGCCGCCATTTTAGGAAAAATTTCGATTCGCGCGTCCGAAGTAGGCTATTTTTCGGATTCGGCGCGAAAATTTTCCAATATTCGACTCGAATTCCACTTCGCCTACTTCGATTCGCTCATCTCTACTTGTTACTATAGACTTTGTTGACCCCTCTCCAAACACAGAGCTTATGGTTGTGACTATAAAGCTCTATTTTGTCTTGTCACTGCAGATTACTGTGTCACGACGTTGGGCATATTGTAACCGGGCTTTTTTGTGACACTGAGCTGCAGGTTCGAGTTGCAAAAAGAAGGCTTTGCTGTGCGCAAAGCCTTCTTTTTGGCAACTCGAACCTGCAGCTCATTTTTGTTCAAGTATTTTATTGTGCTCCTTGAAACAATCCCACCGTCATTTCCAGAGCAGTCTGTATTTCACCTGAAGTAACCTGTGGGGTTTTCTTTGTATCACAAACAGTTCTTCTAGCAGTTGTGGTCTTGGCTGCAAAGTTTCCTGGTCTATCTGATCTTGGCTTGGTATCAAGAGATCCCTTCATTTTCCACTTCTTAATAGGTGATTGAACAGTACTGACTGGCATATTCAAGGCTTTGGATATCTTTTTATATCCTTTTCCATCTTTATAAAGTTCCATTACCTTGTTACGCAGGTATTTTGACAGTTCTTTTTTGCTCGCCATGGCTCAGTATCTAGCCTTCTCAGATCTTAGTGAGAGCTAACAAATTAATTGACTATTTATACACAGACACTAATTGCAATTTAAAAAGCCACAAATGTTAACCTTTAAATGTCATTCTAATCTGTGAGTGTCACCTTGTGTGTCTGTACCAAGGCCAAACATTCCAGGGTAAGTAAAGTCAAATTTTGATCATGGCCATTTGGTGATTTCTGTTATCATTAGGATTTAAAAAGGAGCCAAAACAACTATGTGGTAATAAGTGGCTTCATAGAATCGCTATCCTTAAATAAAAGACTTTTTTTGGCATGACCAGTCATATTTCAATATCAATGCCAAAATTTCACGATTTCTGCCGGGGTAAGCTAACTTTGGAGCACAACTGTAACTCATTTTGTGTAAAAAAAAAAAAAAAAAAAAAGGCTTAGAATATAATTTCAAGGTTAATTACTCAAAATCAGAAATCCTGAATGTATCCCTCATACCTCAACAAATACTTCAATCCAATTTCCCTTTCAAATTATGCCATCAATCATTAGAATGCCTTGGGATCCATTTTCCCCTCTGGCCTATCTCAGCTATTCCTGTTGAACTTCCAACCTTTACTTTGGAAAACAGTAATCAATCGTCAAATCTAAGAGGTTCCCTTAACTAATCAATGGACGTCACTCCTTGGTTCTTATACCCATTTTAAACTCTTCCTATCACAATATCGCACTTGTTCCTCCAAAAACTACAGTGTCTATATACGAAATTCATCTGGGGTCAAACCGTTCCAGGTTACATCAGAAAACACTATCTCCCTCAAATCCAGAGGGGATGCAGGCACTGTAAACATTGCTCTCTATTTTAAGGTCTTTGTACTCACTAGAGTAATGTGTAAATAGATGCATATAGTACAGCTCGCGATCCAGCCTGCACGAGTGCTTTCATGGCAAGCGTCTTGCTATGGGGGCATTCAGAAGGCAGGAGGAGCCAGAGGCACTGGCGGGGACCCAAAAGGAGGAGAAGGATTGGGGCTGCTCTGTGCAAAACTATTGCACAGAGCAGGTAGGTATAACATGTTTGCTATTTAATTAAAAAAAGCAAAGAAATAGGAACCTTTACAATCACTTTAACAAAACAACTTGAGTATTTGGGATCGCTTGGTTTACTCTTCATCCATCTCCTCCTATATTGGCCCTATGGCACCACTCTTTGATGATCAGGCATTCCACCCAGCAATGCATAAATCTGTATTTGGGACTTGGACCAAATCTTCTCATAGATCAATGCGTGCTTTAAGTGCGCCACATCCCATGCCACAAATTCCTATTAATTGTCCAATTGGTTGACCTGCCAAAAGTTTAAATCGTTCTTACACTTTCTTCATGACAAGACCAAACTGATCTCATCCCTTAAACCTCTTGAAAGTGTTCTTGGACAAGAATCCCCTCCCACTCATATAGTTTCAAAACTATACAATATTATAATAAAGAAGATACACTCTGACCTACCTAAATATTCCTGTTTAGGAAGGAGAGATTGGGATCTCAATCTGAGACTGAGAAAAAGCTTTTATTCTCTCCCATGCAAAGCACAGGGGAAAAACTGCAAAATCCTTACAAGCTGGTATAGATGCCCAGCTGTCCTTCACAACTTTTACCCCTCTGTGCCTGACAGTTGTTGGGGATGCCATGCCGCAGTTGGTATCATGACCTATATATGGTGGGAATACGCTCCTACCAAACAAATTATGGGCCCACATTCTACACATTTGTGCTAGGGTAACTAATACTACAATACCAAATACTCCCACGACCACCTTGGTTGTCCATTATTCCTAGGGCAATTACATTTATTAAAAGTAATTTCCTTGCTGCCAGAAGGATGGTTATTCCTAGACATTTGGGAAAGCCAGAGACACCTTCCCTGGTTGAATGGGTTAACGAATTGGATTGCATCATGTACCTCGAACAGAATGTAATTAATTGGATAGATACACATTCATGTGGGTCTCGTGGATGATCTTTCAACATTCACACAAGAGTTTTGAGATTTATTGGCTGCTTAATGTAACCATTGCTACTGCCTGGCCGTGGATAGGTTGGGGATGCCTGCAAGTTTATAAAACTGTTGTTTTATAGTCTGGTTTGTTTGTTTTCTATGTTTCTGTAAATACAGTTTACAGTCTTTTGAATAAAAAGAATTAAAAAAACCAAAAAAAACTTGTTTTATTTTGTTTTTTTTTACTATACTAATAAAATAGTTGCTTTACAAACAAACATTTAAGACTTAAAAATGGTTCTTCAGTCCCCTGTGTGGAAATTAAAAGTCAGCAGCTACAAAAACTGTAGCTGCTAACTTTTATAACACAGCCACTCATCTATCCCACAATCTGGCTCCATGCTCACCCGAACAGATTTCTTCAGTGCACTTCAGTCTAAAGTGCCTGCATCTTAAAAGTGGGCAGCCAACTCTGTGACTGCTTTCGGCTTCACAGATGGCTGCCCTCCGTGCTGCATCTTGTGAATGCTCACAGTCTCTTGGGGCCTGTCACGGGTCCCAAGAGACTGCTGGGAGAGAAGGGGGGTTAACTTCCGCTCCGATCACCTAGGTGGTCGGAGCAGAATTGGGAGTGGGTACCTCTCAAAACCAGGTGCCCACAGTCTACCCCCCCCCCAAAAAAATAAGCAAATTGTGACAAAGGGGGTTATGAGGAGGAACAACGGAAATTCCCCTTTTGGGTGAAGTTCCACTTTACAGTAAAACTTCACTCTCAATCAACATTAACTATTTCTAATGTTTATGCTGATAACATTAGTAATAGATAGGAAAGTACAACATATTTACTTGTTTTAAACTTTTTTTTTTACATTTCTTCAGTTACTAATTACTAGGCTAATTATGTCATACATTCCAGGAGTCTTCAGAGAGGGGAGAAGTGGTTTTCTCAGCTAAGCACACCCTCCTATCTGCATGTCTGAGCTAAGAGCAGGTGGATACAGGAAGTAAATGCTACATGAATCATCTGCCCTTACTCATGCCAGAAATGCTAGGGGGGGGGGGGGTTTTCAAAGTGATTTCTCAGTGAAATAAAGCATGGAGACATGGATGGATGGGGGATTTTGTTTTGAATATTAAAATTTAATTAAAAATAGTGTTCTGTTTTTGGTACACAGGTGCAGAGTAGTTCCCAGACCACTGTTTAGCTAAAAAGACAGCTCAGCTAAAGCAGCCTTGTTTTGCCTTGGGGCACTACTTTGTCTAAGTGGAACTTCAAAGCGGCCTGTGCGATAAGGGATCCGTTATTTATTTGGCTTGTTCACTTGTGTGTAAATTTGAACACAAGCAGAAAAGGACCACGCGTTTTTTGGCCTTATCCTCATTGTAGTTAACAGATCACATAATCACTTACCCAATCATAGATGTTAATGTCTACCTTCTTGTTTAGGAGCAGCGTCACAATGTCAGAATAGCCTCCAGTGCTGGCCAAGGACAAAGCACTTTCTCGTTCTTTGGCCAGGATGTGGGGGTCAGCACCCTTCAAAAAAAAAAATGACCAATGTTGAGCATTTTGTGCAGCGGTTTTTTTTATATCTTCTAAGTATTTAGCATGTCCTTATATTTCATTCACTATCAATACCATATTGTGTAGTCAGATCCAATGTGGTGGATACATTTTTTAGGTTTTAAAAATATACACATGATCTTTACATGTAAATATTCTGTTTTCTGTAACGGAGATTAGGGCACTACCCAATTTAGTAACAAAAACTGATTTACAGGGAAAATGCACTGTAGCATTGAGATCCTACCACAAATACTGCTACAGCTGATGAAACATTTAGCACTTTCTTGGGCTAAGGAAAAAAAAGGTTGCACTGTTTGCTGCAGAATGCCAAAGAGTTTGCTTTGTACTAATGGTATTCTAGTAGCCATTAAAACAAGAAGCCAACTGAAAATACTCTGAAAACTTGCTCACAGTGGGTCCACAAGGGTATCATGCATAAATCAGTAGATTTATTGACGAGTTGGAAGCATACCACATTACAAGTGAGATTTGATGCCTTGTTTGTAGAAGGCTCCCTGCTCATCAATAAACCTTTCAATTTATGCATGATATCCTAATGAATCCACTTTGTGTGTGCAAGCTTCAATGTTGTGGATGGACCAGGCAAGGTCTGGGTAGCCACAAGGATCATTGCTGTGTAAAGTTCAGAGCCAGTCTCCCATAAAGTAGTAGGTATTGACCTATCTCTCTATGAAAATACTCGGGGCTGAAGTTAGTCAGCTAGCAGAGCACAAGGGGCTCAAGGGGAACAGTGCACATCCTTGAAGACAGGAGAAGTTAGCCATGCCTTTGCTGAAAGTGAAAAAACAACCATTCTACCAGGCCCTGCCTCCCAATTTGTATCCTGATTGACCAAAAACATTTTTGCTTTTTTCGCATGTGAAAGTTTACAAACAATCCCTCAAAACCATATATTTTCTGAAAGCATGGAAATCTGTTGAATCAAAAAGTGGTGATGCTGTTTTTGTGTGTCCCACGATAGTTGGAAAAGTTTATCAAAATATGATTTTTTTTCTTTTCAAAACAAGATTCAGAGCACAGAGATCCAAGATAGGACTGATGCCCTCCCCGCTTTGGGCTTAGAAATTCTGAATAGGTTGAAGTACAATCCTGGAATCTCTCTACGGGAAATGGGGGCAAAGACACCTTGGTTCAGAAGACACCAGAGGACTAAATGGAGATCTGATCTGTACTGTGACATACGAAGGTTGGAGGTGAGAAAACAAACTTGGGACAGGAAACAAAACTTCAGTCTGTAGCCCTGGTATAACCATTTTCTGCACCCAAGCAACTGAGATGCAAGCTGTCTGCAAAGTTTAGCAAATATATCCCAACTCTGGATAGTGGTGGCACACCTTCGTGTGAAAATCGAAGGACTTTCAGCCACCTGCCCTTGCTGCTAGACTAGCGTAAAGCTTGGAAGGGTGCTGGGGGAGAAATAAGAGATATTTCCTAACAGATAAGTAGGGAAGAGACTTTGTTTTTTTTCTTCAGCAATATCTTGCTAGGAAGGTGAGTGCTTCTGCCACCAGTAACATCACTGATATGGGTAGGAAGTAGATTCGAAGAGACTTTGTCTTTCCAAGACCTTTCAAACCAGATGTGGGTTCTACAGTCTACCACTTTGGTCAAAGTGTCCTACACATGTGTACTTACATTAGACCCATATGGAAGAAAAGTATCCAGAAAACTGTCACAGATGAAGTACAACTATTTGCTCTACTCTAGAAATAACTACACCAGTGATAAAATCCCTTTTAAGGAGTTTCAACTAGTCAGCCACGGTCTAGCAAAGTAAAGTCACAGAAAAGATGGGAGTGAGGAACAGGACCCACCAAGCAAGAACAGTGTTCTAGAAATTAATCTTTGAATGGTACTTTAAAGCAAACCTTTCCCTACTTTCAATAAAAGTCACAGAGCTATGTAGCTCAGAATTCTGATGTGAAATCATCTAATTTTTTTTTTACTTTTACTTTCCATTTTTTTGTACACTTTCTGGTTTCCCTGAGGGCAAACATGACGTAGCCCTGACCAGTAGATTCCCCCTGGGAAGGAAAGATCGCCAGTTCCTTTAGGGAGATCTCATTCCTAACTTGCAATATCTCAGAAAAAAATGGGTTTTTACAGACAGACAATCTCATGCATGCCCCAAACAAAATTTTGCAAAAATGTGCAAGATCTAGAGGAAAGCCTTTTTTTCCCTCTAGGCCCATGATGATTCCAACACCTGGCTCCATTATCTTCTGTCAGCCTAACAATGATGTCAAGCGCCTAAGATTGTGCATGCACCATACCAGATTTTTTGGGGTTTTTTTTTTTTTTTTTTTTTAACGGCAGCGCGAGTTAGTGATCAGCGGCGGACACAAGTGCTGAGACTTGGGAATCCATGGGAGGCGGTAGCAGGTAAACACTACTAACGTTGTTAGTTTTAGTTAGTAGAATGTTTATAGGGGTTTTAGGTTGTCATATTTATTAAGTGTAAGTGCTTTAACAACAGGTGCATCATCCAATGGTATAATGCTTGCTTTGTTAAGGTGGGACACTAATGGATCCACAGTGGGAGTAATTCACTTAACAAAATCGTCCCCAAAAGAGTTCAAGGCTAATAAACATTTGAGGGGGGACAAGCAGCTTGTATGGCTGTTTTCAATCTCTGATAAGCTCATCTTGCAAAAAGCAGAGCGATTCACAATCAGCAGAGTCTTTGTGGGTAAATCAGATACAAACTCTGTAGGGGAAGGTGTGGGAGGCTGCTTGTAGCCTCTGAAAACAACTAGGCGACTTTGAACATGAAAAGTTGTGCATGACTGTAGTGAAAACCTCAGCCGAAAGAGCAAAGGAACCAGCCACACGCAGTACAGCTAAAAGGAGAACTCTGAGAGGAAAGGGCAATACAATGCTAGGCTGCAGACATTGGCACGAAAGCAGGCATGCTGAAAAGCAGTCCTGGAGCCATTAGTAGAGTTTAAGCTGGGGGCACTCATGGCGGTAAGCTAAGGCTCAGGACATGATGCAAGGCCTCAGGTACTCATGAAATCCCAAACAGCTGGTAAAGCGTACTCACAAAGCAGTCTTCAGAGACAAGTTCATACCTGGAGCTGTGCCACTGCTCTGAACCTGGATAGTGTGACTAACTTTTACCATACACCTAAGTTTATAAATGCCCCAATGCAAAGCCCAGTGTAGCCCTACAATATCCAGTCCTATGAGGTCCAGGTACAACAAAACAAAGTCAAGCTAAGAAACGGTTGACCTGGATAGTTGTATATAGTGTCCAGCTCAGCAGGGATGTAGTCAGAAACGTTATTGAAGAAAAAAATGTTAGCAAAAGGGTTAGTCTGCTCTCACCTGAGCAGGGAAAAAAGGTGTTCATCATTTTAAGAACTTAGCAAAAAAACTGAGGCATGCTGGGCATAGGTGAGGTTCATACTGGGCTGCCCACAATTGTTTTGTTTGCCTGTGTCTAATCATCCTGTAGACAGCAGTCCCTCAATGAATAAGAAGGAAAAGAGCTTTAAAACATGCCAGCTCTTATCTCTCTAGCTGTTTGTATTGTAAAGTGAATTATTCTTAAAGTTCTAAAAAGATCACAACAAAAACTCTAAAGTCCAATTTCAGTCGGTTTCTAACTGCTTAGAAGGCTAACAGGCTGACAAAATGTTGCTACAATGGAAAGCAATATGAAAAAAAATCTTACATTTACGTGCCTCTGATGTGAGCTTTGAAGATGAATTCCTTCATAATGCTTATAGCTGCAGAGATGATTGAGGGTTTGTTTTAAAGTGCTTTTTCAAGCCATGTAAATACTTTCATGTGCATCCTTTGGGTATAGGTACAACTCATTCAGGTTGTTTAAATCCACATTTAAAGTTAACAAACAAAAACCCTACCACTTCCAAGAGATAACGAACAGTTTCAATCTCTCCAAAAGCAGCAGCCCACATTAGAGGAGTAAAACCACGCTCATCTGGTCGATTTAGTAATGTGTCATCTAGGAAAAAAGAAAGGGTAAAGAAACAGTAGGCTTGCACAGCCCATAATATGCATACAATTAATTGTGTAAGATGAGAGAAACATACCTTTCTGCAGATATTCTTTGAGCTGAGTTAGCTCCCCCTGGGCTGCAACCTGATGTACTGATAGGGCTGGTAAAAAAGGGACAAACAATCAACTACTAAATAAGCATTTAAAAAGCTGACCTGACTACTATTAAAATATTCACCCTCTGAAGTTAAGTGTTATATAAAAAGGATGAGGGACTTACAAAAGGTTTGCATGCTCACTTACATATCATTTGAACCTGGCCCATGCAAAGTGGTGAAATTGTAAACCTGAGAATTGCAGCTTCCCAATCCTCTAGATAGCACTGCTACTGCTACTGCAACAGTTTTCTTTATTTCAGGCTCCTTTTCTTTTCATATCCCAGTAACACATTTGGGTCCTAGAGTGACAACACTCATTCATGTCTTACAGAGAAGTGCTGTCACCCTAGGCTGCTTGCTCCTGATTTAGATTACAGAACACTTCCATCTTTCCTCGTCTCCATACCATAGCAGGGAGGTGCTCTGCAGTTCAGAGGCAAACTGGACAGGGTTGATAAGAGTGTCTGAGATTTTAGTGCAGAGTGCATAGTATAACACTAGAAAAAAAACCTTTTTAGTTGTATATTTACCTGGCCGTAAAAAGAGCAAATAGTAGTTAGGTGTTCCAGTTTAAACACAGCTGAAGCACCAGCTGGAAGTGGACACTTTGTAAAAAAAAAAAAAATGCAGTGTAGTACACACATATTTGTACTGTGCAAAGCCATGGTAAAAAAAAAAAAAATGTTTTTATGCTATTTCCTGTGCTGATTGAATGTTTTCAATTGATTTAAAAACAGACATTTAGTTAAATCCAGTGGTTTACATCAATGAAAAACATTATACCAGAACAGGAATTAGCCTAATATTATTCATTTTTTCCCCTCCATTTGAACAGAATAAAATGTACTTGCACTGTTACTGAATGATCTGCTATGTAATTTTCCCTTTGAGTAATGGTCTGCAGTTACCTATACCAGACAGTCACTAATCAGCTGCCTTCAGTATAAATAATTTACATATAAGACTCTCACTCATTTTTTCTACTGCAGATTATAAAAGGAAAGAAAACCACTACTATGGCAAACCTATAAATGCAGTCTAAGCACTAATAAACATAGAAGCTCATCCAATAACTTGGGTCTTGTTGTCCTCTCATCCAGGACAGCAATGCAAGTGAACCAAAATGTAGAAAGATTATGATTGTAACAGTTCAGGCATTTCAGTTAACATTTGTTTTACCATGTAGCAGTATGGCTCAACTTTATTGCTGGCCATACACACAATGTTTTTGCAGTTTCAACAAGCTGCTGATCACAAAGATGATTCGACAGACTTAAGTGTTAACCACTTGCCCTCTAGAAGATTTAGGCCCCTTCCTGACCAGGACATTTTTTGCGATACGGCGCTGCGATACTTTAACTGGCAATTGTGCGGTCATGCATGCTATACATAAATGAAATTTATGTCATAATTTTCCCACAAATAGAGATTTCTTTCAGTGGTATTTGATCACCTCTGCGTTTTTTACTTTTTTCACTATAAACAAAAAAAGACTGACAATTTTGAAAAAAAAAAACAACCTATATTTTTTTTACTTTTTGCTATTAAACATATCCCAAAATAAATAAATAAAATTTCGTCATAAATTTAGGCCAAAATGTATTCTGCTATATGTCTTTGTTAAAAAATCCCAGTAAGTGTATATTAATTGGTTTACGTGAAAGTTATAGCGTCTACAAATGGCGGTATATATATATATATATATATATATATATATATATATATATATATATATATATATATATATATATATATATATATGGGAATTTTTATTTATCTAGTTTATCTACTTATTTATTTTTTATACTAGTAATGGCGGTGATCGCCAACTTATAGCGGGACTGCGACGGGCATTCTGGAGAGACAGAAAGCAGCACGTCCATATGCTGACAGGAGAGAGATCTGTGTTGTTTACACACAGATCTCTCAGCTTTGCTGACGATCACCCAGCTGGGACCCGGTGACTGACATCCTCAGGAGTCAATAGCAGCGAGAGTAGGGTGGCGTGTGTGTGTGCCCCCTACCCGGAAATGCGAAATCACATATATTTACTTGATTTTGCTGCCCTGTAGCAGTACATCTGCTATGGGGTGGCGGGCAAGTGGTTAATACAGTCTGATTTTTTATTTTTTTTTTAATTACAATAACAAACATGTTATACTCACTTTCTCTGTGCAGTGCTATTGCATAGAGCAACTTTGCTCCTCCTCATCTTGCCCCTCCCCCCCACAGATGATCTTAATGATAGCAAAAATGGCTGCTATGGGGGCACACGGTGTCTGTGTGCTCCGGAGCCGTGTGTCTATGGAACCGCACTCCATAGACATACACAGCTGGACTTAGCTCCGCCCCCCACTTCCTCCTCACTGAATTTGATTGACAGCAGCACAAGCCAATGGCTCCTGCTGCTGCTTGAGTCCAGTGTGAAGTGGAAGAGAGGGGAGAAAATTTTCACAGCTGGGTCTCTTCTCCACTCTCTTCCCCTTCACACAGGGAAGAGGGAGGGCATAGAAATAAACATTTTTTACCTTAATGCAAAGAGAGAATTAAGGTAAAAAAAACATTTTTAGCTTTAGTATCACTTGAAGTGTATCTAAACTTAAGAATAAAAATTGATAGTATTGCAAGTTTACCTGTCCTTAGATGTGTGGCTGTATTTTTTCTTTTTTCACATTTTGTCTTTATTTTACCTTTGTATTGTTGACATTAAAGTATAAGTAAAGGCAAAACGTTTTTTTTTTTTTGTTTTGGATAGAGTGGAGATGGAGTAGAACACCTGGTAGGTTTTTGCTGTCTGACCTCACCCATTAGGGAGATTCACCCTCTCTATCTGTCCCGTTTACCATTATCGTTCAAGGTGAAAGTAGAAGAAAATCTCAAATTTTGGGTTGTCCCCAAAAAAGTAATAGAAGGGAAATCTTCCAATGGGGACACTAGTTCTGGTGACCTGGGGAGGGGGGAGATTTAGTGATTCTCTCTCGCTTCCTGTTTTGGAAATGGGACAGGAAGTGAAGGTAAATCTCCCCAAAGGGACACAGATGTCAAAAAAAACTGACAGAGATTATAACCCTTCATTACTCTATGCAAACTGAAGAAAAAAAATGTTTGCCTATAGTTATTATTATTATACAGTATTTATATAGCGCTAAAAGGTTTGCTCAGCGCTGTACATTATAGTGGGAGACAGAACATGAGACAATACAGTGACAAAACAAAACACGAGGGGTTCGAGGGCCCTGTTCTTTCGAGCTTACAATCTAAGAGGGAGGGGATAGTGGTACAGGAGGAAGTGGCTGTGGGGGATGGAGTGGTGGGAGGAGTGGAGGAGATCGGTTGTTAGGTGAGGACAGGGTAGGCTTCCCTGAAGAGATGGGTTTTCAGGGTGCGCCTAAAAGGTGAGGAGGGAAGGTGACAGTCTGATGGATTGGGGTAGTGAGTTCCAGAGGATGGGGGAAGTCCTGGAGAAGTCCTGCGGTCGGGCGTGGGAGGTGGAGACCAGGGAACTAGAAAGTAGGAGGTCTTGTGAGGAGCGAAGATTACGGGTTGGGTGGTATTTGGGTATCAGGTCGGTGAGGTAGTTTGGGGGGCAGCGTTATGAATGGCTTTGTATGTCTACTTTATAGTTCTACTTTAACTAATTTCCTGTACTGAGGTGGCAACTGTACTGAACAGCGTTGTAATCCTAGGAAAGGGAATGTGCTAGCTCTATTTAACACTGTGTTAGCACTACATAACACCTTCCTCTCTTCTCCATAACAGGGGGAGGTGGTTTGTAATCCACAGAGATAGCAGGGAACAATCCTAACTAATACTGGTTCAAAGGCAGCAAGTACAGGAAGTTATGGGCTCACAAAAGATAAACAGATAATATATTAATATATATAAGATTTTTTTTCTGCACTTGTAGAACAGACTTGATAATAAAACACTTTTGGTATATCTAGCAGACTATAAAGGGAACAAATAAAAGAAATGTATTTCTGGAGTTACACATTACAGTAATATAACCTACCACCATCCCTCCTATATAGATATAAATATATAGACTGTTGGCGGCAGGTTGCCTCAATCCATTTACATCCAAGTTACTTTTGCAATCTAAATATGGTTAAAAGTGGTTGAAATTGCCAGGCATTTACAGTGTGTATGGCCACCACAGGGAGTAAATGCAGAGCACCGTACTGGACCGTTACATCAAATGTCAACACATATTAGGTATAAAACCAGCAATCATGCATTAACTACATAGCTAGGGTCATTCTATTCTATACTCCGGAAAATTGATAGAAAATAGAGTAAAGTAGTAAATAAAAGAGCCACATTGATAAGCTTCTGTCAGGGCAACAAGGTGGACCCTGTGAATTTTGATGCATAAATATTAAATCATGCATGTTTACATAGCTCAGCCTAAGATATAATTAGGGAGCTCTCTCTATATAAATACATGTGAAGTGTTAGACAAAGGGACACTGCAATTCACCGTGTACTCACAGTCCAATGTGGCTGGCAATACAGATACCATGTTTCCACGCTGCCGATTGGTTAGAGTAGTTGAGTATTTCAATGGTCCAACTGTACAGAAAAGAGATAAAGCTGTAATGTAACCCTTATAGAAATCTGACAAATGTTTCACAGTCCTCTAGAGTACTCTACTTCTTAGCCACCAGCTATTATCCTCTAGATCCACCAATGCTCTTTTTCCTGGGCACATATCAAAATTACTTATAAAGAAAAAAAAAAAAAAATCAACTTCCTGTAAACAAATATAGCATATCTTTCAGTTTCACACATTCAAAGCATGAAAAGACAGGTGTCAGCGGGCAACACTGATCTGGCAGTGTCATTAGAAGTATACGGGATCTGCTGTTGTCAATGCAAGCTCCAGAGCGGTCATCCTAATCATTGTTTTACAAATCCGAGTCACTGTTCTCAAAGAGTATGAAGTGTTGACTGCATGGATGTCTGGGGTATATGACTCGCATAGTGAAACCAGGATCAAGACTACAACCACAGAACCTTTGCCTTTAAACCTGAAGTCCAGGAAGGTATAGAAGTAGGGTTGCCACCTCATACCTTTAAAACGGAAACATATTAATTACACAGGTTCTGAGGCTAATTTATAGCAGGAAAGGCACTAAGTGAGTTTAATTACCACCTTAACCCCTAGACACCGAGCGGCCGCATATTTGCGTACCATTAGAACATACATATGTGCTGAGATTGCGTGCCCTGCGAGCTCCAAGCACATATATCCGCGACTTACGGAAATGTCCCGATCTCCTCTTGCGAAAGGGACCTTTTCCGATCTTGTGACCGCCATGACAGCGAATCATGGCGGTCACATGACCTAAAAACCTCGCCCGCCTCCCGGCTTCTGAAACTCTTAAAGGTCCGGGAGGCGCCAGTGCAAAGGGGTTAATCAGTCACAGAACCTGTGTAATTAACGTGTTCGGTTTTAAAGGGATGAGGTAGCAACCCTATATAGAAAGACACATATTATTTTGCAGTAGCTCTCTAATCATTACTGCATCAGTAAACGCAAGACATACAAGTACCTGAATTTGACTTGGAGTTAGCTTCTTGCAATCTACTGTGTACTGCAATGCAAGAAGCATGCTGCTTGGAGGAAAGAGCAGGGAGATGAGTTCACCAATGTGCTGCTCCTCCTTTCACTGTAAGCTGAAACTAAAGCAGAGAAGGATCAGGACCCCTCCCCTGCTAAACAGGGCTGTGCTGTGGAGCAGAACTAGGTAAATATTACAACTGGATGGACAAAAATACAAAACCTTTGTCAAGCAAAATTTCTCTCATATATGCATTTCATCTGTGTTTTTAGCTATAGGCCTGAAAATCAGCTTAAAAAACATATTAGCAATAATAGCATCCATATTTCTTTCTTGCCTTGTAAAAAGATATTTACCAGGGTGCACAGGTTTGTCATATAGGCTAGAAAAGTAACTAACTGCATAGAAAATACCATTGGAAAGGCTGGGATCTGTCTTTATTATTTTTGTATTGCGACTGAATATTGGTTTCACATATATGTGTAAAATCTATTTTAAGCAGAATAAATAGAATGACACACCAAACTGCACCTACTGTGCATTGCCAGTGCAGATTTTAATATGCTGGGATACTCAGTAAATCTGCATTAAAGCCCAACTGAACTTTTTACATTTGCTAAACACATTCCAGGTGCCTCAAAATAAAAAAAGCTGTGCAAAGTCTCACAATTTGTTTTCTTTCAAAAGTAGCCACAGTCTGAGTAGAAAAGCCTGACCACTGTCAGCATGCTGTAGAGAAGTACCCTTACTTTCTGTGGGGAAGCAGTAGTCTTATTTGTTGAGGTCTGTCACAGCCCCTACTCAGTCAGAGCTTGAGCTCTCCAATCAGAAAAGCTCATGCTCTCTGTTCATAGTGAAACTATAGGTTTTAAGCAGGAGGCTTTGGACCCACCCAGAAAATACTGGTTCAAAAAATGCATTAACAGATGTTACCTTCAGTTAAAATCTTGTGTTAAAAAAACCCAAATCAGTGGACCTATCAATACAGACAGCTACATTTATTTACAAATTCTACCTTTTCCTATAAAAGTTGAGCCCGGCCCTGACCCACCTTGCCATGAACCTCATTACTAGTGACTAATAAACGTCATTGTGCAACATCTATCAATTCTGTTGCAGAGCACTTCTATAGTAGTGAGCTGTATTACAATGTTACAGTATGAGTCATAAATTCTTCTCTTTGTTGCTTTAAAAGATAAGTTTGACTTTTGTAACATGTTACACCCAAATTCAAGGTATAACATGTTACAGATGTAGCTACCCCTGCACCCCCTGATCCTCCGTTTTGACAGCGAGCGGGGGATCTTCTACACTGAACTACAAGTCCTGACAGCCTTTACAGCTGTTGGCTTTCAGCTCTCATTTATTGGTTTGCTAACTAAATACACTAACTTAGTAGAATCTTTCCAGCAGAGAAATCAAAACAATAAAATCACACCATATGAATCTTTTAGTCCACTAATAACATAACATACCTTTTATTAATATGCCATTGCATGGTATACATTTCAAGATTGAAGTCCAGCAATTTAAAAATAAATAAATAAAAACAGACCCCCAGCAGTGCGAGAGTTTATTTATTTATTTATTTCAGGTAGTTATATAGTGCTGTCAATTTACGCAGTGCTTAACATATATATTGTACATTCACATCAGTCCCTAATCCTCAAGGGCATACAATCTAAGGTCCCTAACTCACATTCATACATACACATACTAGGGACAATTTAGACAGGAGCCAATTCACCTACCAGCATGTCTTTGGAGTGTGGGAGGAAACCAGAGTACCCGGAGGAAACCCACACAAGCACAGGGAGAACATGCAAACTCCATGCAGGAGGTGCCATGGTTGGAAATCGAACCCATGACCCATTTACTGCAAGGCAGATATGCTTGTTTATGATGTCTAGAGGTGCATTAATAAAGTGTAAATACGTTCCTTATTCCCTGCTACAGCAGGATCCTTTCATTGCTGCAACTGGTCCTCCGCAGCCTGCTCTGTAAACTGCTACCGACTCTAATCACACTCCAGCCTCCTCAATGTACAATACAAGGTTAATGTCCCTGTATTGTACCTGCTGACACTGAGGCTATGCCTACAGACTGGAACTTCAAGCAGAGGGGGAGAGCGCAGAGTAAGAGTGTTGGATAAATAATACAGCCTATACTTTAACCCCCAGACATGAAAGGCACTTAACCCTTGCAGTGTGTGTTGGCCTCATTTCAATTTTGCATCCCCAACATTGATGACACCATCTCCTACAGCACTTAACAGTATATATGCTGGCTTCTGACCAGGGGTGAACTGACCATTTGGAAACTTGGGCACTGCCCGAGGGTCCGGGGTCAGTAGGGGGACCCATGAGATGCCCCTGGTACCTTTTGCATAGGGTTTTTTTGAGTTTGGGCAAGGACACAGGGGCCCAATGATCCCCTAATGCCCGGGGGCCCCATGAGTTGTCAGTCCGCCCCTGCTTCTGACTGATATGTGTAACAATATCTCATCTTCTTAGGATAGGATCTTTACAGCTTATTGAAAAGTGCTGATGAAGAGCGGAGAAGAGGTTTTATTCACCAACTCAGGTGGTATGGTGGCCCCATCATGAAGGTAGCAGCACTTATATTCTCAAGTAGCCTGGTGGCCATCTGGAAAGTTTGAAGCTGCTCCCTCTATTCTAGCTTCCAAATGTGAATCGGGATCTTGGTTCTTTTAAATTCATACCATTCATATGAGTCACCTCTTCCTCTGTGTCTGAGCCACTCTGACTTGCTGGGTAAAGATGTAAGATGACAGTGCTCTCATCGCTATTAAGTGGAAAGCCTGTGGCATCTGCTATAGGATCTGCCATTTCTAGGATTAAAATAGAAAGTTTAATAAACAACATGCAATAATTGTATGCACTTAGAACAAATCAAATTATTTAATGTTTTCAGACCATGTAGAAAACTTCAAACATTGCATTTCTGAGGCTTGGTAGTAACATCTTACATATATGTTAGTCTGCCACACAGTTGTATGTACTTGAGATCTAGAAACAGGACTAGTTAGAGGGAAGCATGTCTTTGTCTACCTAAGATGGCTGTAGAAACGGCTTCACTGCTGGCAGTGAAGATACCTACATCCATGCAGTTCAGTATGGATTGGGTAATCAGTTAAATTTCTCCCATTCCGGTCATATATATGAATAGCATATATCTGTAGCCAAACTTTTTTTTTTTTTCTTCTAAATAGAATAGGGAAGGATTAGAACCTCTGACAGGTTTTGTTACTTGTGTACCTGCTGGGAACATTCACCCTCTTTATTTGACCTGGTGACAACAGTCAACCAGTTGGCGAAACAAAAAGAAAACCAAATAGATTCCTCCATCCACCTTGTTTGGTCCCCTCCTGGGATACTGTATTCAAACAGTGGCTGTCAGTAGGCTGCAGCCGCTGATCAAGAATAGTTTTCCAACTTGTCATTTTGACAGAAGTTGATCTAACAATTGACAACACACTGAAAAAAGTCACCCCGTCCCTACTGGGCCAGTTGTTTTTTTTTTTTTTGGGATGGGGGAGGGGGGGTTAACATTTTGAATAGAGTAAGGGAGGGTATAACCCCTGTCACAGTTTATTTTCTCATCTGTCTTTCACTGGAGAGATTTTTCACTTCCATTCCTACAGCCAAAACAAGAAGTGAGGGGGAATCTATACAAACTGAGGCAATCCCTGGGTGTCACAAAGGGTCCCTAGAACTAGTGTCGCATTGGAAGATTTCTGGGGACAACCCAATATTGGAGATTTTCTTTTACTTTCACTTTTAAGAATAATGGCAAGCAGGACAAGTAAAGAGGGGCACAGGCAGCAATAAAAAAATGACAGGTGTTCTAAACCCTCTCCACTCTATCCAAGGCCAAAAAAAAAAGTTTTGTCTTTAGTTACGCATTACATCAGAGAAATGTGGCAGGATCGTTTTTCCCAAATTGTCCAACTCGGACACGTTATGCAATTTAAGAGACTGGGTTTACATTCACTGTATTCAGTAACATTATCACTGATGGCAGCACCGTTAGAAAATAAACTCAATTCTGAGGGTGAGGGTGTGGGAATGCGTATAAATTGCATGTATTCCCGCACCTGCATGCAGCTGCACACAAAATGCTGTGCTTTAAAGAAAACCCATAGGAGTGCCATTAAAGTGTTACTAAACCCACAACAGTAAAATCCGTCTGTATATGCAGTAACGCATGCTTGTTATACTCCCTGTGGAACTTAAGGGGTTAATCCTCTGAATTGTGTAAAAAGGCTGTTTGATCTGGACTACTCTGATCCTCCCCTTCTTCCACTTTCCCCTTCCTTTCTCCTGATAAGACATATCGTGTAGACACTCTGCACATGCTCACTTTGGTGTTTATTGCTAGAGAGGGTTTTTTTTTCTTGGGAAAGAGCATGTGATCAGCACAGGGCCAATCAGAACTGTCCAGACAAAGGTCAGGGGTCCTACATTCTCCTAGAGCAGAGAGACAACTCCTCCTATAAGCTTTAACCAGTGCTCGGCTGAACACTGATAGAAGTCACAAGACTGCTCTAACTGCTGATGTGAAAGGTATTTAGCAGTTTATATTTACTAAAATAATTGCATTTCCATGTTCTGTGTACTGTGGAGAACAGATATAGTGAATGCAGGGTCCTGGGTTTAGTAACACTTTTACTCTTAAAGTGGTAGTAAACACTATCCAGTAAAAAAAAAAAAAAACACTGAGAGACAGGGTTTTTATAACAGAAGAGACCATAGGTGTCTCTTCTGTCATAAATGACCCCCCCTGCCTATCAAAAGGTAATGCAATCTGAGCTGTGCAAGTGCAACTCACACTGCATTTACATCCCACAGCGTAGCGACTCAAGGAGTGATGTCACCGCAGCCTGCCCATTCAAGCAGCCGAAAATGTGGAACCCGGAAGAAAGACCGGGTCAACACGGAAGCACCATGGACTAGAGCAGTGGTTCTTAACCTTTTTGGAGGTACTGAACCCCACCAGTTTCATATGCGCATTCACCGAACCCTTCTTAATTGGAAAAATAAAATATGATTTTTAAAATTCAAAACATAGGTATATATTTATACATAGGTGCACAAAATGAACAAAACCATTAAGAACAAAGAACAAATATAGAGTCTACAAACTAATATATGGTATACAGTATATATTTCAAAACTGATATATATATATATATATATATATATATAAATTAGAACTAGACATTCCCAATTATTTAAGATATAAGTGTGAAAAGGTTTGACAAATGAAAATATACATATAGTAATTCATCCCCCATAGTAATTCATCCCCCCTATAGTAATTCATCCCCCCTATAGTAATTCATCCCCCATATAGTAATTCATCCCCCATATAGTAATTCATCCCCCATATAGTAATTCATCCCCCCTATAGTAATTCATCCCCCATAGTAATTCATCCCCCATATAGTAATTCATCCCCCATAGTAATTCATCCCCCATATAGTAATTCATCCCCCATAGTAATTCATCCCCCATATAGTAATTCATCCCCCATAGTAATTCATCCCCCATATAGTAATTCATCCCCCATAGTAATACATCCCCCATAGTAATTCATCCCCCATATAGTAATTCATCCCCCATAGTAATTCATCCCCCATATAGTAATTCATCCCCCATAGTAATTCATCCCCCATATAGTAATTCATCCCCCATATAGTAATTCATGCCCCATATAGTAATTCATCCCCCATATAGTAATTCATGCCCCATATAGTAATTCATCCCCCATAGTAATACATCCCCCATATAGTAATTCATCCCCCATATAGTAATTCATCCCCCATAGTAATTCATCCCCCATATAGTAATTCATCCCCCATAGTAATTCATCCCCCATATAGTAATTCATCCCCCCTATAGTAATTCATCCCCCCTATAGTAATTCATCCCTTATATAGTAGTAGTAAGTAAGTAGCAAGTAGTAAGCCAAGTCCCCCCCTGTGTCAATTCACTTACCTTTGCTCCACACGTTCCTCTCGCCGTATTCCCGCGCCGTTCTGGTCTTCAGGGCGGACTGTGAGAGGAGCCTAGCTCCTCTCACGTTCGTCACGCTGCCCCGCCTACACACATCCTGACAGCCAATCACTGGCTATAAGGATGTGAGTGGCAGCGAGACTGGCCAATCATTGCATTTGAGCGCGCTGCCCTGGCTGTTTTTTTTTTTGGATCACGCTGCAGAGTCCCTGCCGCCCGAGAGGAGGGAGGGGAGCGGGGCGCCCGGCACACAAGAGCCACATTAAAGCGTGTAAAGAGCCGCATGTGGCTCGCGAGCCGCGGCTTGCCGACCACTGGGCTAAGCGATGTTGCGTGACCACCTGCAGCCAATGATGGACAAGCGGGGCATGTCATCACGAATCATATGAGTCGGGTGTGGGTCTTCACCTCCGCCGAACCCGCGAGACTGACTCACCGAACCCCTGGGGTTCGATCGAACCCAGGTTAAGAACCACTGGACTAGAGAGAGCTGTGACAGCCCAGTGCTGGAGGGCTTGGTCTGTAGGGAAGTTTCTCATAATGTACTAGTATGCAGTGCATACTGGTACATTGTGGCTCAAACATGCGGGGGGGGGGGGGCTTCTCAGTCTCTTAATGAGACTTTCCTACCACTTTAATGGCACGGCCAGTCACTGCTGCAAGACACAGTGCGGTTTCCCATATGCAGAAACACATGGTGCAACAGCATCATGTCAGTTCTGTGTAGCAAAGCTGTAGGGATCTTTTTCCTGCAGGAAACACAAGCACAGCATTCCTCTCAAATGCTGTGCCCCTACAAATGCAACAAGCAGAGCTGCTAGGGTTGCCACCTCATCCCTTTAAAAGCGAACATATATTAATTACACAGGTTCTGTGGCTGATTAAAGTGGTAATTAGGGCTCATGTACACGGGGCGTTTGGAAAACTCTTCTGAACGATGGAAACTGACTGCTGGAAAACGTAGGTTAAAAAACATCAGTTTAGCTGCGTTTGCATACCGTGTTTATGTGCATTTAGAAGCGGTTTTAAAAGATAACCTCAGGAGACCTTACCAAATGCCCATAACACAGTGAAAAATAGTAAAAAATAACTATTTCAGACATTGTGAGAGAAATAGAGAGAGCAGAAGCAGAGAGAGCAGTATGTGTTGAGATGACCTGTCTTTTCTGGTTGTATTCACTATGGATCCCATCATGAGCATAAAGCAGCACGTTCAACCATTTTTTGTTCCTTCACGCGAAAACTGGAACTGACTGTACTGGTGTACTAGGTCCATTTGAATACATGGAACATGCTTTGCATGCATTTCTGATGATGAAAAAAGGCTCTGGACAGGATCTAGACATGGAACAGTTAAAAGATGCTTCTAAATGCAAATGCGGTTAACCGCATTTACAAGCGCTTGAAACGCCGGTAAAATCTACTCCTGAACACGTTTGGTGCGTTCAAAAAAAACAACTGTAAACTCAATTGCCTGTAAATGACATAGTGTACATGGACACATAGCCAAACATTAGGGAGAGTTCAGGGGCTGCTGAAAAGAAAAGCTCAATAGCTCCTGAACGTGAGTTTGTCAGCTGCAGTGTACATGAGCCCTAAACTCACCTAGTGCCTTATCTGCATTAAATTATCCTCAGAACCTGTGTAATTAATATGTGTTCAGTTTTAAAGGGACGAGGGGACAACCCTAAGAGCTGCATATTTGTGAACAGAGCCTGTAAACAATGCTCACAATCCAAGGTTCACACCTGTGCTTTTCATGTGTTTTTCTAATGCATTCTTGCTGTGTGTTGATGCATTTTCATGCTTTTTTTTTTTGCAAGAGGAAACTGGTTGTTAAAAACAAAACCCTAACAAAAACGCTTGTACATGTATTTTTCATGCCCTTCCATTGAAGTCTATGGACCCAAAAATGCACCTTCCTGCATGAAAAGAGTCCTTGCACTTTTTCCAAAAACGCACTACATACATGTGAATGGGATTCTCAGTAAATCATGTTAAATCAATTGTCGTGTTTCTGCTAAAAACCACACAGGTGTGAACCTAGGCTTATAATACTCTGCAGAGACACATGATTTACAGAGAATTTACTAAAACTGAAGCAACCAATCAGCTTCTATCTTCAGCCTGTACAGCTAAGCTTTGAAGCTGAAAGCTAGAAGCTGATTGGTTGCCATGCATAACTGCTCCAGGCTTAGTAAATGCTGTAAGCTCGAAAGAGCAGGGCCCTCAAACCCCTCGTGTATTGTTACTGTCTTGTCTCATGTTCTGTCCCCCTGCTACTGCACAGCGCTGAGCATACCCTTTGGCGCTATATAAATACTGTATAATAATAATTAAACATGACTGCAGTACATTTGACACCACAGGAGTCTCCAGTGTGCTCTCCCCATAGCTGTGTCAGCCCACAGAGCCATTTCCTCACCCCCCTTTCAGTAGAATGGAGTCACCCACCCATGCAATGACCTGCTGCTGCTGAGTCCCCTCTACTTCTTCTTCACACCAGGCTCCTCTTCAGAGCTGTAAGAATATACTTCCTGGAGGCTTGGTGTAAGTGGCTTCCTGATTGGTCAGCGCCTATTTCATCTCTTATTGGTGAATTCTGTCTCTGCTTGCCATCAGTTGATGTGTGTGCAGTTTTTCATGCTGGGACTTGTAGTACCACCTGCTGCCTGGCTCTTCCTATGACTGAAGACATTATCAGACCAAGCTAGCACAGCCAGGAGACTCTGATGTGCACAACAGCCTCGCTCAGCGCTGCACTACAGGCGGAACCTTCTGTGACGGCGGAACCTTCTGTGACGGCGCACCCGGACAGCTGTCCGTGACGGACTAATACTCACCCGGACGTGTAGAGGCGGTGCACTGGTTAAATTCAAGCCATGGAGGAGCAGGAAATGCAGATTAAGGTGAAAAAAGGTGAGGCGGTAGTGTCTTGGAAGGGGTTAGGCGATGGCAGAGCCGGTCATTCAAAGAAGTAAGTGGTATGCCAGCTGCTGTTCGTGTTGTGCTTCCATTTATTCCATTGCATGCACTGAGCTGGAACTTCCTAGCCCTCTGCTCAGTACACACAGTAATGGCATTTAAAGCCCAAACATGGGTGGTGTGGGGAAGGGTAAAAATCCTTTATTCATTTTTTTTTCCACTTGTTCTGTTTGGGCCGGTTCACAAAACAAAAACGCAGTTCAGATCCGTTCCAGATCTGTTTCTGCGTGTGCATTTTTAACGTGTTTTTATTGCATTTTTTTTGATGCGTTCTGATGCATTTCTAAAGCTTTTTACCACATTCCCGTGCAGGAAAATTACAGCATGTTCTACTTGGAACTGATCACACTGCTGTGAACTATGCCAGACTTTCTCAACCACGGTACCTTGAGGTTTACTCAAGGGTGCCTTGGCAAAATGTCTAGAAATTGCTCAGAAATTGTATACAAGCCAGCGGGTGGAACAAGCCTGCCTTTTAGTTATACAAAGCCAGAGGTTTTCTTTGTGCACCATTATGAACTTCTAGTTGCCGGCATCCTGACAACCAATGACATCAGTTGATAAGGAGGATGTCAGCTGCCAGCCCAGCATCCCTGTTTGACCCTCCCCTGCCCCTCTCCATCTGTGCTGGGGTCACATTAGCTCAGTGATGGAGAAAAACTGAGGGGGGAAGCGAAACAATGGAATACTAGTCAGGAGGACTAGGAGGATGTCTAGGAGGATGTCAGTAGCTGCCAGCCCAGCATCCTAGTTTGACCCTCTCCCTGCCCCCTCTCCATCAGTACTGGGGGTCAAATTTAGCTCAGTGATGGAGAAAAACTGAGGGGGGGAAGAGAAACAATGGAATACTAGTCAGGAGGACTAGGCGGTCAGCTGCTAGCCCAGCATCCTAGTTTGACCCTCCCCTGCCCCTCTCCATCAGTACTGGGGTCACATTAGCTCAGTGATGGAGGAAAACTGAGGGGGAAGAGAAACAATGGAATACTAGTCAGGAAGACTAGGAGGATGTCAGCTGCCAGACCAGCATCCTAGTTTGACCCTCCCCTGCCCCTCTTTATCTGTGCTGGGGTCACATTAGCTCAGTGATGGAGAAAAACTGAGGGAAAAGAGAAACACTGGAATACAAATCGGTACCAGTGTGCAAAAGTGTATTTGCTTTGGAAGAATAAATCACCTCTAATGTTGGGTGTTCTACATGTGTGGATGTTGCTGTGTTATATAAACTATTAGAATAGTTTTTTACATTTTACAATGGGGTGCCCTTTTAAAATAATGGACAGTCTTGAGGCACCCTATTTTAGAATGAGGTGCCTCAAGACTGTCCATCATTTTAAAGGGTTCCTTGACTGAAAAAAAGGTTGAGAAACACTGAACTATGCCATTGGAAACCATATAACCTACTTTCCATGTGTTTTTGATGCAGACAAAAAATGCACTACATTGCATGTGCTGTGAACTGGCCCTTTATGTTTTTTTTTTTTTTTTCTTTTTTTTGCAGTTGAGCCTGAAAAGCAATGCAACCATGATCAATGGATGGTGGCTGCAATGCTCAAGCTCCTGCAGACTATTCCTCCAGCTGCAGGCCTATACAGATTTCTGGGCCTTTTGTTATGGGGGTGGAATAAATGATCCATTGACAACAGGTGCAGTGACATCCCACACTTCTGTTCCGTGGTGACGGGGGGGGGGGGGGGGGGGTTGATGTACTTGGGTTTCTTTTAAAGTGGTTGTCAACCTTCAACATGAAATACAATGCTGTGAAAAAGTATTTGCCCCCTTCCTAATTTTTATTTCTTTGCACATTTTGTCACACTAAAGTGATTCATATCATCAAACAAATTTTAATATTCCACAAAGATAACCCAAGTATATACAAAATGCAGTTTCTAAATTATGACTTCATTTATTAAGAGAAAAAAAAACTGTGCAACCCTGCCCGGCCCTGTGTGAAAAACGAATTCCCCCCTTTTCTTCCATGCTAAATCATGAACGAACTGTGGTTAATCACTTTTTTTTTTTTTTTTTTTTTTTTGGAAAGTTGGGTTAAATTTTACTTGCCACACCCAGGCTTGATTACTGCCAGACCTGTTGAATCAAGAAATCACTTAAATAGAAGCAAAAGTGACAAAGTGAAGCACACTGAAAGATCATGCCATGATCTAAAGAAATTCAAGAACAGATGAGAAACAAAGTAAGTGACATATCAGTCTAAAAAGGGTTACAAAGCCATTTCTAAGGCTTTGGAACTCCAATGAACCATGGTAACCACCATTATTCACAAATAGAGAAAACTTGGAACAGTGGCGAACCTTCCCAGGAGTGGCCAGCCTACCACAATTACTCCCAAGAGCACAACGATGATTCATCCAGGAGGTCCTAAAAGAACCCAGAGCAACATCTAAAGAACTGCTACCACTTTAAACTTTTTTTTTTTAATTTTTATTTAATGTTTTTTTTTTGTTTTGGTTGTTTTTGCACTGTTCCTTTTTTAAAAAAAAAAAAAAAAAATTGTAATCACTTTTATTCTTATCACAAAAAATGCATGCATCCCTTGTGATTGAAATAATTAGTGACAGGTCCTCTTAATGGAGAGATATGGGGTCAACAAGACCCCACATCTCTCCTCTGCAATGTAAAGCATTAAATCAAAAAAAGCATTGATCTAGTGCTTTAAAAAAAAATTAAAAATGGCCGGACCTGGATGTCACATTGCTCCAAGAGCATAGAGATGTGAGGCGGCCATCTTTCCTTCTCTCATCTCTATGCCCAACGCTGGGATCAATGGTTTCTCAAGTAAGACTGAACTATCGAGCGGTGGACTGGCGGCTTTGAGGGGTGTGGTTTTTTTCGGCACCTGTATCGGTTTTTTATTTATTTTATTTTTTTTTTCCCCTATTTCGGCCGACAGCCGAAAGGGGTGTTTTCAACCGAAACATTTCGGCCACTGTAATTTCGGTGCATCCATAATTTTTGCTATGAAATTATTTAAACCCCCCCTTACCCAGAACATATATTTGCTGAAAGAAGAGGCCCTGTAAAATAAAAAGATGATAGTTGCAACTTCTTATGTCACCTGATATTTGCGCAAATATTTATCAAATGCAAATTTTCAGGAAAAAATAAAATGAATTTTAGTGCAAACACACACAATATTATACCCGTTTTTGGGGGGCAAACTATAAAGGATGAGGTTGCTTCAAGTATATAGATACCAAGCATATCAAGTCTTAAAATTGCGTGTGCACATGATATCGCAAAAAACTACGCTACCAAAAGCTTCGTACTGTAGGTGACGTTTGTGGATGTGTGCAGGGCAACAGGGGTTACAGCATATTGTGTGTTTTGTACGTAGTACAGAAGAGGTGGGCTTTAACACCAAGTCACTGCTCATCTGTGTTCACAACTTTCACACCAACCCACATAATTCCGAGATAGAATTCATTGACATATGTTGGTTTCTCACCCTTCCAAGATTCAGTCTGAACCATAGCATATCTGTGCATAGATGTGAAAAATGCACAGAAAGAAGGGGATCCAATTAATGTTGGGACGTTTCTTTTCCTCGAAAGTCACATTACGCTCTGTTTGTTTTAGTCACAGACAAGTTTACGGAGAGTATGTATGTCCTCGCCAATGAACCTTCAGTGGCTTTGTATCGCCTGCAGGAACATGTGCGTAGATCATTACCGGAGCTGGCCCAGCACAAGGTGAGAGTGCTTTTCCTTTATCTTTTTGTGTTCATTTGTGTTCAGAGAAACCTAATGAAAAAAAGATTTCAACTTTCAGTTTGTCCTAGCAGTTTGAGTAACACTGTACCAGAATGGACTTTGTATAATTCTTGCAGCAGTTTTTCTTTGTATTTAATCGCCACTAAACTTGCCATTTTGTACTATATAAAGGGGGGGGGAAAAAAGTATGAAAAAAATTAGTTTTGCAAATGAAGAAACGCTGGTATTTAGATCATGAAGCACAGAACTTTGTAATCGTGAACTAGATACAGCACATCATTTAATGTATAGGTTGTACACAGACAGAGGAGGTGCTGAAGGCATAACTGTACAGGCCACATACAGAGGGAGGCTAAAGATTAACGTGCAGGATAAGGGATGAGAAGGAATTTAAGGTGTACAGATCACATAGAGACAGAATGGAAATTAAATGTACAAGGAAAGGGCGGTGAAGGGGTTTAAAACATATTAAAATCCCTCAACGTTAGTCTGATTCTGCTGATCCTTTCATTTATTTTTTAATTAATAAATACTGGCTTTCTCCCTGTCCTCAATGTTAAGAAAGGGTACTAGAGCTCTTGGATATAAGTCCTATTTACATTAGAAATCACAATGCACAAAGCCACTCAGATCAGCTTTGTAAAGTGCGTAAAGTTGTCCGATGACAGCTAAGATCATAGTCATTACTCCCTTAACGCCCTTGCCACAGTACATTTAGGGGCAGCATGTAACAGGCTGTCGTGTGTGTTGTGTGTACAGTTTGTGTCCAAAAATTATTCAACCCCACTGAAATTGAGTGTTTTGGCCAGTTTGACATTGCTTTTTTGATCATTCAGATCATCTTTACATTACATTAAAGAGGCACTTTAGGTTAACATAACAGTTATAATGAAAATAACCACAAATGTCTTTTCTGTGCTCACAGCATTATCAGTTTTATTCAACCCCCAAGTGACATTCAATCTTAGTACTTAGTACAGCATCCTTTTACAGTTATAACAGCTTTTAAACGTGAAGCATAGCTTGACACAAGTGTCTTGCAGCGATCTAACGGGTATCTTCGCCCATTCTTCATGGGCAAAGGCCTCCCAGTTCAGTCACATTCTTAGGCTTGCGCACTGCAACTGCTTTCTTTAAGTAGAGTGTGTCTCAATCGGATTTAAGTCTGGTGACTGCGATGGCCACTCCAAAATGTTCCAGCCTTTCCTCTGCAACCATGCTCTAGTGGACTTGGAGGTAGCTTGGGTATTGTCCTGTTGAAAGGTCCAACGTCTCCCAAGCCTCAGGTGTGTGACGGACTGCATCACGTTTCCATCCAATATCTCCTGGTACTGAAGAGAATTCATGGTACCTTGCACACGCTGAAGCTTCCCTGTACCTGCAGATGCAAAACAGCCCCAAAGCATGATTGACCCTCCACCATGCATTCACAGTAGATCATCATAGGCCTTGTTCTTCCTCCTCCAAACATAGCGTTGATCCATGGGCCCAAACAGTTCTAATTTTGTTTCATCAGTCCACAGAACACTATCCACAACTATTTTGGTTTGTCCACATGGCTTTTGCATACTGCAGTCGACTCTTCTTATATTCTTTGGAGACAGCAAGGGGTACGCCTGGGAGTTCTGGCACGGAGGCCTTCATTACGCAGTGTGCGTCTTATTGTCTGGGCTGAAACTTCTGTACCCACATCTGACAAATCTTTTCTCAGTTCCTCAGCAGTCACACGGGGACTTCTCTCCACTCTACGCTTCAGGTAGCGCACAGCAGTCGAAGTCAGCATCTTCTTTCTGCCACGACCAGGTAGCGTTTCAACAGTGCCCTTTGCCTTGAATTTGCGAATGATGCTTCCTAAGGGTCTCTTGGTATGTTTAACATCTTTGCAATCTTCTTATAGCCATTGCCCTTCCTGTGAAGAGAAATCACCTCTTCTCTTGTCTTCCTGGACCATTCTCTTGCCTTCACCATGTTTGTAACCACACCAGTAAATGTCTAGAAGGAGCTGAGTATCACAGTCATTTTAAAGCTGCCTAAATTGGTGCTTATTATGCTTGATTGCTGCTCGGTGACATCCACAGGTGTTTTCAATACCTGATGGAAAGCACCTGTATGAACTGTTCTTCAGAGTGGTAGTCTTTAAGGGTTGAATAATTGTGGCATGAAGAAACCACATAAGAACCATTTACTACTGTATTACATAAACATTTGATGTCATTTTAGTTGCACTGTTGGGTAGTTACAACGTCCTTGTAGGATTTGATTCTGAATACAATTCCAAATGTACACTATAGTCCCTAAACCCCTTTACAGCATTGGGGGTTGAATAATTTTGGACACAAAAAACATGATTGAGCCTGTTGCGTTTAGGAGTGCATGGGGGTGCGCAGCACGCTCCTCCTGTGACACAGGGTAAACTGGGTATCATGTGATCATATGATAAAAATGTAAACAAGTTAATGGTGAACAGGTTTGCCTACTGTTGGGATCTGTGATTGTCCCACAGCAGTCATGTGGTACCTGGCCAAAAAAAATCCCTAATCGACCACCCCAAGAGTTGTACAGTGTGTCTATGGTGACACTGAACTACTCTGATGACAGGATGTTAAAAAAAAAAAAAGTTTAAAAAAATGAAAAAAACATTTATTTTATTTATTTTGTACGTATGGTTATTCATATGTTCGTATGCCTGATCACCACCACACCAGTCATATAATGATGTACTGCACTGGTGACAGTATGTTAAACAAAAAAAAAAATAATTTTATAATTTTCCAGGGGGGTTCAAAATTTTCAGCCCTTATGTTTTATCATATTGGCAAAAAAAATACACTTAGTGGTGATCAAATACCACAAAAAGAAAGCTCTATTTGTGTGAAAAAAATGATATAAATTTCATTTGTGTATAGTGTCGCATGACTGTGCAATTGCCAGTTAAGGTAGCACAGTGTTGAATGGCAAAAAATGACCTGGTCATAAAGGGGGTAAAACCTTCCGTAGGTTAAGTGGTTAATGGGTGCACTGGCTGCCTGAGAATGATTGATTTCTACAGTGCTGTTTACAGACATCCACCACTCCATAATCCTACATGGTACAGTAGCAGACAAGTGGTTAAAGAAACAAATGTCAGTTTAACTATTCAGGGCAAAACTACAGGTTCGTTTAGGCACTCCCCCATCACAATATTTCTGTGTCAAGTCCAGGATCCAAGCTGTAGCTTATACAAGTTGAATGTGGCCCGACGCTTGGCTGTTTAGGCCTGAGAACAGTGCATCGTAGGAGGAGTTCACATGCTTCACCATCTCCACCAAGGGTTCTGGCAAAGCAGCAGGGGAGGACAGGGATGAAAAGTATCAGCAGGAGGGCTGTTTTTCTTACATGAAACCTTATCACTTTTCCCTGAACTGATAAAGTGACAGTCACCAACAAAGGACACAAGTGCATTCTTTGCAACTGGAAAACAATTATGTTTGACATCTTCCTGCAGAATAGGTTCCTCACTACAAGAGCTGTGAACATGGCAAATGGTTGAAGTAGAGTGCTTGAAAAATGATTGGATACATTTCTAAATGCAGAAAATCTAACGTAACTACTGTATTAATGCATTGTATGATTTTGATATATGGAGTTATCCTATTTGCATGTGGGGCTAGGATTTGTTTTTGCCATAGTGGTGCAAATTAGGTTACACTTGAAGGGAAAAAAGTGTTATAGGGCATTCGGCTGTGAAAACAATGAAGCCATAAGATCAGCATGACAGCCAGACAAATAACATTCTAGGAACAGTATAGGAAGCGGTCACCAATGATAGCCTCAGTAATTCTCCCATGACATGTATACTTCCTGTCATTACATACCTGCTGCATGTGCAAGGACCCGTTTACAATGATTCATTGTGGAAATGTGCATTAACACATGATACAATGTGCAGTACCATTCATTTTAAAGTGCCCTGTGCATTGTGGGGTTACATTGCTGAAATTGCTGCACCAGCAGTTGCTTGTGTTACTCTGCACTGCACACCCTTTCAAAATGCATGGGGTGTTTGCACGCTTCATTTCATAAATATGCATTGCATTACACAGTGCAGAGTGTGAATTCCCCCTTAAAGGCACCTGCACATAAGTGCTGCAGCCTCTTACACCCTGCTGTTACAGCTGTATCCAATGCTTCTGGGTAGTGTTGGAGTTTATCCCTACTTCCCGCCCTCAAACATTGCTAGTGGGCCATCACTATGATGCCATGCCTCACTAGCCAGTAGGAATGTTGGGGAAAAAATGGGAAGTAGCAGAAAAACTTCAAAACTATCAGGAAGGGTTCTGGATAGGTCTTTTTTTGTATTATATTTGAACTCTTTTTTTTTTTTTTTTTATTTCTAATGGTTTAACGCCATTAAAATGTGTGTGGTGTTTTTGTTTTTAAACCTGGGTGACTATGTGACTATACAAATGTCCAATATTTAACCGCTAGCCTACAGGGCACTTATAGCCCCTTCCTGCCCAGGCCAATTTCCAGCTTTCAGAGCTGTAGCACTTTGAATGACAATTGCGCGGTCATGCAATACTGTACCCATATGAAATTTTTATCATTTTTTTTTTTTTTGTGCCAGAGCTTTCTTTTGGTGGTATTTAATCACCTCCTGGGTTTTTTTTATTTTTTCTTAAACCAAAAACCACAGAAAATTTGGGAAAAAATTTTTTTTATTAGTTTTTGTTTTTGTAAGTGATTTTTCTGCTTCACTGATATGCGCTAATGAGGCTGCACTGATGGCCATTGATAGGTATCACTGGCTGGCACTGATGGGTGACACTGAAAGGCAGCTCAGATGGGCACTGATATGTGACATTGATGTGCACTGATATGTGGCACTGATGGGCACTGGCATGAGGCACTGATGAGCACCGACAGGTGGCACCGCTGGGGCTACACTGATCATCAGGGCACACTGATCATCAGTGCCCTGATGATCAGTGTACATGTCCCCTCCGTGAAAGCTGATTATCGGCTCTCCCCTCTGTCAGCATGACAGCTCAAGAGAAGAGAAATGCCGATAACCGGCATTTCCCTGTTTACATGTGATCAGCTGTGATTGGACACAGCTGATCACATGACTGAGCCGACATCTTCGGCTCTTTCCGTGATCGGTGATCCGCTGTGTCTGAGGGAGAATGGGAGGACGTCATATGACGTCCTCCCAGAACAAGAGAACCACCTTGCGCCCGTCATTGAACTATATGGCGGGCAGGGGGTGGTTAATAACCGTATTCAGAATGTGAAAACCTTTATCGCAAAATGTATATAAATTCAGCACTTGCACTCCTTTTGTTCTTAAAGTAAACTAGTGTGCCTTTTGGATTTCCTAGACTGTTTCTTCGCTCTCTTAATGTGTGCCCTTTTTTTTTTTTTTTTTTTTTTTTCTTAGTTATTCCCAAGGGCCCATATACACCAACGGCATACTTTTATGATGCATTTTTTAAATTTGTTTTGTATTTTATTGAAGGTTAACAAAAAAAAAAAACACAATGCTATGCATTGTAACATTTTGGGCGCTGCATAAAAATGCAGGCACACTGCAATGCAATCCAGCACACTTGCATGGTGTAAACAGAGAGCACATAGAAAATAATTATTTCTTTCAATGTCTTTCCGTTGAACCTGCAGCATTCAAGCTGATTAACACAGCTCCTTAGTCTACTCTAGCAGTTGCAAAGCTCTAGTCATTTCTCCCCGGCTAATGTGATCAAAGCCACACTTCTGTATTTCTTTGTTGGTAACCTGCTCTGATTTACATTTGATACATCGAGATAGGTTTGTATAGATATAATGAGCTGCCAAGGTGGGCATTTAAGCAAGTCTGAGGTGCCTTTGCCTTTTTCAGTTGATAAAATGAGTCTGCATGTATGTTTGTTTTTTTTTTTTTTTTTTTTTTTGTTTTTGTTTTTTTACCATGAAAATTCCACATTCCCTGTTTTAAGAAAACCATTCTGATATTGATATTACAGGCTGATATGCAGAACTGGGAAGAGCAGAGCCAAGGATCCATTTATACAGTGGAGTATGCTTGCAGGTACAGCTGTTAATTTATCAACTTAAAATTAGAGAATATTGGAAGGGGGAGGCCATTCATATAGAATGCCTGAGCCAGTGGGTCCAATTTGGGAGCCAATGGGCACTGAGTAAGCCAGGAAACATGTTTTCCCATAAAAGACAGTAGTTTGCACCCTGTCAAGCTGGGTCTTAGGAGGTGTTCATTTCTGGACATGACCTTCACAGTTGATGGTTAGTTATCATCTACATCCTTATGTGAAAACAACTGGCAAAATAAATCTTTGTTAATAATCAGAATCAACATTACCATAAAAGGAAAATATAATTTAGAATTTGGAAGCTTAGATGAATTACACAGCTAATGTTACCAGCATTATTGAAACTCCCAGTGTGCATGGAGCCTTAGTATTAGTTTAGTTATTGTAACGTTTGATTATAGGCTTGATAACTGCTCCTTCATTATTACTTTATGCAAGAGTCTCATACATAGACACTCTGGTCACTCGATCAAAAATATGAGTATGTATCTAACCGTTGGGCATACAGCATAATGTTGAAGCTGGGATCCACGAGACTGGCCATCATATATCAACAGAACAGTTTATAGAAAAACCGTACTAGGCATTAGACCACAAAACACAAAACACAGAGGGGTGGGACCTGTGTACTTCAATTAACTCCAAGAGACATTTTTACATTAAGTACAAAAACAAGAACTCTTCTTGCAATGCTGGAAGCATCACTTATCACAAGCAACGAGTCTATAATTTTAAACAAAAGTTTACATTCTGGTTCCATAAGAAAAGCTCATCCTTTAGGATCCCTCTCAGAGTGAAGGTTCACAGTCTCCTGGACTCAGAAGGTCAGAGATAATGGGTCTGCAGTGTGGTATCCAGAGGCTACAAACTGGCTACATATTTTATTTAAACCTGTTCACGGTTCCTAAGCCACACAGAAATGTCAGTCCTATTTTCAACAAGTACAGAAAGTACAGAAATTCAATATGGAGCCCACCTGGTTGGTAGAGTTCCTGTTGTCGGTAGAGATCAAGGATTCCTAGCTTCATATCTTGATTTTTGGCTTTACCAACGGTTTCTTTGCAGTGAAGTATTGCCGCTATCAAGTTGTGGCATTGCCTTTCGATTTGTCTATGGCATCAAGTGTGTTTACCAAGGTGCTGGGTCCAGTTCTGGGGTTACTGGGTACTCGAGGTATTCCTACTGTGGGATACCTGGACAACCTGCTGCTAAGGGAGTAATCGCCTCGGAAATGGACATCAAATGTTCAGCATGAGCAAGTCCTTGAGAGGTTTGGCTGGGTGATGAACTTCAGAAGTTGACTTACTTCCAATGCAATATCTGGAGTATTAAGGCTTAGTACTCAACAAGCAGCAGGTAATATGCTGGTAGAGTCCAAGATATCATTGGAAAGCTCCTTGGTTTTGAGCTGCATGCAAGTGCTGGGGAAAATAATAGCCGCCTGCGATATGGCCCCCTGTGCCCAGAGATCTGCAGCACAATAACTTGTCAGTATGGGACGAACGTTTAAGGCTTATTTGGTATCTATTTATCCAACACAACCTCAATTTTACATTTTCACAAAGAACTGGGTAATGTGATCTTTGTAATTAGCTCATGTATTTTTTTACAGAAAATATAAGCTTGATAAACCATTGTGATAATCACATTGTGACATAAAAATTGTAGCTACCACCATTTTATTCTCCAGGATCTCTGTTTACTGAAAAAATAAAGTGTGTGTATGTGGTTAACTAACCTTCAGGCTAAAAATGTACGTTTACGTGGGAAAAAATGTCTCCAGCAGCAACTATGAAACAGGGTGGTAAATATGCCCTTTAGATAGAAGATACAGATGATCTGGAAGAGCCCACAAGATATCTGTCAGGAGTCAGTTCAAAGTACTCCAACTGCCTCAGCCAGTCTGCAGCTAAGAGTATTAGTAGAAGCAAAACAAACAGAGTTACAAGGAACAAACCTATGCATAACACTTCACCCAGCATTATCCCTTAAAAGCCTATCCATGAGCACAAGCCCGTGGACATCCAACCAATTCCCCAAAACTATTTCAAATTTGCCCGGGCGCCTTCCATGTAGATAAATATAGTGCTCTAGCCTGAAGGGGTCCCTGATACAATTTACCCATTCGCTTAGGGTGGGCAAGTCCTCAGATTTCCATTGAAATTGTATTTGGATTGCATGCCTGAGAAAGGCCTCTGTATGTATGTATGTATTTAATAATTAATATATTTATTATTTATTTTAACACAGTGCTGTGAAAAGTATGACATTTAGCAGCGTGCACTTTAAGAGCATTGAAGGTTTACTGAAGCAAGCCATCAACTTGAAGCACCAGTTGAACACCGTTCAGAGTCGCAGGTAGTTCATCGGAAACCGTTTACATTTTCCACCACAGCCTTCACCTATAAAACAGAAGACAGACAAGCAACAACAAGAAGCAAAGAAAATACCCCTGCTTAACAATAGTGGCATTGTTTCGTGAATTTCTGCTTGGAGCTTCTGTTTTTTGGGGGTTTTTTTTACAATGTATAGGCTGGTATTAACTGTATACAATGTAAATAGTATCTGAAGTAACAAGGGAACTTGTAAGAAAACCAAAGGAAGCACCAAAAGTAACAGCTTGCATGAAAATATATCAAACTGCATTATGTAACGTGATTATATATTATCTAGTATGAGGTTTGGAAAACATGCTCTTCAAACATTTGTTACTTGTGTGTTCTTTTTGTAAGTCCCCATATACACTCTTACAGTGATATTCCTATATAATGCACTCATACACAGATATACATTACCTTTCTCGGCATAGTAGGAGAGTAGATTGTGGTAGCTGACTGTGGTTTGTAAGCAAGCACACCAGGCTGGCATAGTCAGATACAAACTCAACTGAAGACTTCTTGCGTTGAAGTTGATTAGACCTAGATCAGCTCTGAGCATGCTGTTTAAACAAATGAACAATTATACGGCAACACAAACTGCATGCTTATACTCTATCTCTTGGAAATGCATGGGCCTGAGTCTTCAAGTACAGTATATGGTATAGTGTATGACAGTTTTAAGCTATCATGATGAAGATATCAGTACTAGTGGTTTTTATTTTTTTTCTTTAACTCTTTTTATAAAGCTCTTTTTCTTTTAGTTATGAAAGATGGCATCTTTACTTAGTGAAACACAGACCCAGATGTGGTTGGATGCTGGTTTGTTCAAGGATTCTTTAGGTAATAAACCAATAGAATCACTAGGACTGCCAAAAAACTAGCAACTTGAAAAGGCAGCAATTTGTCTGTTTTGCATTGCTAGTTGCCTGGCTGTTTCAATATTTCATTATCTTAAGTGTGGACCTTGAACAAGACTGAAGTTGAGGGCTTCTTATGCTTTTTTTTTTTTTTTTTTTTTTTTATGTTCCTGATCTGTATACTTGTTCCAGGTTAGTGACAAAGTATTGACATCAGAGGTTCTGCATAACAGCCAGTCAGCTTGAATTCAGAGTACAGTAAATGTGGTAGCATACCAATTCCTTTAAGATTATGTTCTTTATTGTGCATGAAGCCTTTTTTTATATTTCAACTTTAATGCAGCCTTTTAAAAACACAATGTACCTTTAATGCAGTATCAAAAAAAAAAAAAAAAAAAAAAAAAAAGCCTACATTGGTATACGTAAAAAAAATTCTCAATTACAAAGGTTAAAGTATATCTAAACCCAAACCCTTTTTTTTTTTTTTTTTTTTTTTTTTTTTTTTTTTTTTTTTTCCCATTTTTGCTAGAACAAATTAGGTTTGAGTTGCAGAGGGTTATACTCCGTGTCAGAAACACCAGAACAAGTGAATTTCCATCTATTCCCTTGTTCTAGTGACTCAAACCTTTGCATTTTCCTATCAGTACAACAGATTCTCCTTTTGCTGTTTATTCTTTCCGAGTCTGGGTTTTGCTGTACAGGAATGGCAAGAGGTTGATGCCAAGTCAAATTCAGGTACTTACACTGTTTGCATTAAAAAATAAATATATTTATAGTTGCATTAATGAATACAGCTTTGCATTAATTTGTGTCTTATATTTCTTGGGTGTTTTAGTTTTTAACTGTATGATGTTTCAATTGTAGAGCGTATGAAGTAATGAAAAATTGGGAAGAGTAACTGTTAATTTAGTGACAATATGCCTTGATACATTTACAAATAAAATGGTGTCACTTGTCCATATTTTAATAAGTTCAAATGCAATTGGTTTTATTGTGTAAAGAAGTTGCTTATTTTTGTTTGTGAAATCTAATTTTATGTATTTAATGTCATTAAACATTTTATATCTTAACTCATTCATTTTGCAATTTTGAAACCTGTTATATAAGTTTTTAAGACTGACACAAATGAAGAGATTTTTTGTAATTGGGCAAATGTGGCGTGCATTCAGGTTTACATAGCTTGTATGATATAATGTTGGGGTTCTTTTAGATCCTTTACAAGTTCCTTTTAGGGCTCGTTCACATGTGTGTTGGTTATGAAGAAAGAAGCAATGCTCATTAACACTCCTATTGCATTTATGATGTGCTTATGACGTGTTTTCATTGTGTTTTTGAAGCATTGAAACTGCTTCAAGAATGCTCAACAAACACCCATGGCAGCATTGCTTTTCTAGCGGGAAGTGATGTAGAGGAAATGATATCATTTGATATGTTGATTTAGGACAGCCTTTCTCAGCCAGGGTGCCCTGGTGTCCTGGTTGAGAAATACTGTCAGATCCAACTGAGTTCACGCTCCGCCGAATGTACATTGGCACAGCAGAACCATGGTCAGGACAGTGCACTGAATAGCAGTGTAAGGGAGAGGCAGCTTCCTGAGCTCTCTGCCTCCCCCCACAGGGCATTACTTGAGTGCAAGGCTGGGATGGAAGGGGGGAACAGAAGGGGTGCGTGCAACATGCTACTTAATGCCACAGATTCCTAATCTGCAACTGGCAGCCGATGCAGAGCTACACCAGCCATATGTCCCTTGTCAGCCTGGCAACACTCGCTCCACTTGGCCAGCACCACCCACAGCCTTGTGGATTGTAATGGAAGACCGCGGTCCTGGCCTGAGGCTCTGGTGAGAAGAAAGCAGGGCGCAGATGGGATCTGAAGGTAGGGTGGGGGTTGGCTTTTAGCAGAAAGAGTGAGATACAAAGGTGTGCCAACGGGGAATTTGAGGTTTGTAGACGTAAGTTTGAAAAATGTTATATGTTTAGGGAGTCTCCCTTCTAGCACTGCACAGTTGTATTTGTATCTCTTTGGTGTTGTGATTTTTTTTTTTGTGGATTAATCTTTTTGTGTTCAACTGCTTAGTATATACACTGTTAACATATATATATATTTTTTTTTTTTTGTCTGCGCAATGCCACATTATAATTGACATTTCCTACCTAGTACTGTCAGTATTGCTGTCTGGCTGATGTTCTTCTACAAACAGAAGTGACTGGAGCTGCTCTATCCTATTTCCCAATCCCCAGCTAACACTCCATAAATGCTTCACTAACACTCCATAAATGCCTTAGGTGATGTAAAAGGCCATGTAAACCCAACATTTCATACCATGTACTTGTATGAAAAAGTATCCTGTTCTCTTTGTATTCCTTCTTTTGTGGGAAATCCCTGGTGGTCCTGTCAGTCTCTCTGCTTTCCTGTTAAAAATTGACCACACTAAGCAGAAAAACATACCTTGGTCAGTTCTATAGCTGTGCTGGGAACTCAGCCTGCTCTCCTCCAATGATCAGACTTGTCCTGGCACCCCCCCCCCCCTTGCACAGCCTGGGAAGATCAGTATAATGCTGTTTCTCTTCCCCTAGCTCTTATTCACCTGCAAGCAGAGTAAAAGTAATCGCATATTTAAAAAAATATAGAATATGTTACGTCTATACACAGATGTTTTGCCTTTTCTATTTAAACCACTTTTGGCCCTGGAGCGTTTACCCCCTTTATGACCAGCCCATTTTGTGCTGTTTTGGCACTGTGCTACTTTATTGCACAGTCATGCAACACTACACAAATTAAATTTTAGATAATTTTTTCCCCACACAAATAGAGCTTCGTTTGGTATTTGATCACCACTGGCTTTTTTTATTATAGAAATGAAAAAAGACTTAAAACGACAATATCTTCTACTTTCTGTTGTGTTGCATGTTCAATTAAAAAACAAATTTCTTCATAAATACAGGCCAAAGTGTATTCTGCTACATTGTATATATACTGGAATTTACGCAGCTGTAACACTATACTGGCAATGCCAGTGATCAGTGACTTACAGTGGGATAGTGTGGTGGGAAATCTGGCGCTAGCTAACGCTGGCTGGGAGAGACACTGACACATCAAAAGTAACACTAATACTATGATCGGTGCTAATACTGTGCACTGTTGTGGTACTAATGGCACTGGCTGGGAAGAGGTTAACATCTAGGGGCAATCAAAGGGTTAACTGTGGATAACAATGTGTGTTTAATGTGCTTCTTTTACTAATAGATGTGGCTGTTTTTTTCTCCATTTTGAAGGGAGAAAAAGTAACCAGATTGCTGTTCTCTGCACAGAGCCTTGTGTTGTTGATCAGCAGGTCCTAGCCATAAATCATTGACTGGGACCTGCTGACCGACTTATGCTGTACTGAATGACAGCACAGATCGGGCAGGCACAGTCTCTACCCTGAAATGCTAGATCAGAGCACATGTATGTAATCCAGCACAGCGGGGTCTCCATCCCGCAGTATGTATACTATGAATGGTCTTTAAGTGGTTAAACTGAATGGGTCGTTTTCCAAGGTGAGGGTTTACAAACGCTTTAAGGTGCAGTTATTGGGCATCACCATTGAAATCAGTGGAGGTGGTCGATGCCTCATGAAAGTGACATGCTAACATGACACAACACAAGGCCACTGTGAACAGTTAAGTATCAGAGGGGGTTAATCAGTTTCAGCTGCTTTGGTGTTAATGAAATTAACAACAGGTGCACTAGATGGGCAAAATGAGACAACCCCCAAAACAGGAAAGGTGGAGGCAACTGACAATTTTATTCCCTTCTGTTTTTCACTAGTTTTGCATTTGGCTAGGGTCGGTGTTACTATTGGTAGCATGAGGTGATACCTGGACCCTACAGAGGTTGCACAGGCAGTCCAACTCCTTTAGGATGGCACATCAATATGTGCCATTTCCAGAAGGTTTGCTGTGTCTCCCAGCACAGTCTCAAGAGCATGGAGGAGATTCCAGGAACAGGCAGTTACTCTAGGAAAGCTGGACAGGGCCGTAGAAGGTCCTTAACCCATCAGCAGGACCGGTATCTGCTCCTTTGTGCAAACAGGATGAGCACTGCCAGAGCCCTACACAATGACCTCCAGCAGGCCCCTGGTGTGA